CCAGGAGGCATCCTAACCAGATGCCTGAGCCACCTCAACTGGCTCCCCTCGATGTGGAGGAGCAGCGGCTCTACTCTGAGACCTCCCTGGATGACTGAGCTCCTCACCCTATCTCTAAGGGAGAGCCCAGACACACTACGGAGAGAAAACTAATTTCAGCCGCTTGTATCCCGTATGTCGTCCTTTCAGTCGTGACCCAAAGCTCACGACCATAGATGAGGGTAGGAACGTAGATCGACCGGTAAATCGAGAGCTTTGCTTTTTGGCTCAGCTCTCTCTTCATCACAAAAGATCGGTACAGGGCCCGCTTCACAGCAGACGCTGCACCAATCCGTCTATCGATCTCCCGCTCCATCTTCCCCTCGTTCGTGAACAAGACCCCAAGATACTTAAACTCCTCCACTAGGGGCAGTACATCCTCCCCGACCCAGAGAAGGCACTCTACCCTTTTCCGGCTCAAGACCATGGTCTCGGATTTGGAGGCAATGATCCTCATCCCGGTCGCTTCCCACTCGGCTGTGAACCGCAGTGAGAGCTGTAGATCACGCCCTGATGAAGCCAATAGAACCACGCCATCTGGGAATAACAGAGATGCAATCCTAAGGCCACCGAAACAGATCCCCTCAACACCTTGGCTGCGCCTAGAAATTCTGTCCATAAAAGTTACGAACAGAATCGGTGACAAAGGGCAACCTTGGCGGAGTCCAACTCTCACAGGAAACGAGTCTGACTTACTGCCGGCAATGCAGACTGAGCTTTGACACCGGTCATACAGAGACCTAACAGCCCTTATTAAAGGGCCCGGTACTCCATACTCCCGGAGTACCCCCCACACAACCCCCCAGACTAGATTATTCTACACTAAAAGCAGAATCTTGTGAAACCTCTATTCATGTATGTGAGAGTTTAATAAGGGGTCTTTAATAAAGACCAAGTTAGAACAGGTCCTGCTTAAAAACTGTGGTACTTGGAGAGATCAAAGATGGACTATATGATTCTACACTTGCAGCAGCATCTGAAACCTTTATCTGGTTTGTGAAAGTTTAATAAAAGGTTGTTTTTTTTTTGCATCTGTATCCTCTCATAACTGGTTGTGCTTAAAAACTATAGAACATAGAAAGTTCAAACATTAGTTTATATACTACTTGTAGAATATTTAAAACACAGGTTGGGATTTTTGGAATATTAATCCAATTTGTGAAAGTTTGATAAATGGAGCGTGAAATAATCTAGTCCAGGTTTAAACTGAGCCAATTTTATTGTGGTACAAATTGTCGATGCAGTACCATTATTTACATTTCAGGAGATTTGAACACTGAACAGACCAATAAGCTGCTGCCGCCTTTCTTCAGATCTCAACCTGATCTTCATGCTAAGATCACACTAATGTAAATATTAGAGGTTTAAACAGGATAAACCTCATTCAAAAGACTCAAAAGAGTCTGGATGCTCTGATCTGGTAGAACTGCAGGAACCTCTTTTCCTGTTTCAAATGGAATAAAAATAGGAAAGTGTCATAACTTCTCTACCAGAAATTTCATTTTTGTTACTTTTACATAAAATTGTGCAGGCTTGATCAAAATGAACAATCCACATGTAAATTTAGCATAAAATTACCAGGGGACATGGCTAAAAAGTGCACTTTTTTGCACCGTTTATGCACAGATTTCCTTGGCTCCTCATTAGAAGCTATTAACACTACTTCCTGGAAACCCATTTCAGTTTTCATAAATTGTCCATTAAGAGCCTAAGTCATTATGTTGTTTGTTGTTTTTTGTTTGTTTTTTCTTTTCTTCTCTTCTGGTTTAGCTTCCATCACAGTTTTATGAGTTTGGTGTGAGGTTTGGTTTTCACCACTTAAGTCATTCTTGGATATTTATTTACATTAGACAGGACTGGTTCTTTTTTTTTTATTTCCTATATGATCCATGTGAACAGCTACAATCTGTTATACGTATTTTCCAGCTTTTAATTCTTGTTTTCTGGATTATCAGATTGAGGAGAGGCTAAGGTCTGCTGGTAAATCCCACCTGTTCACCCGCCTGTCCTACCCTGGCGCGGGCCACCTGATCGAGCCGCCCTATTCCCCGAGCGTGAGGTCCTCCATGTGGTCTGTCAAACCCAAGAAACGTGAGTTTTCTCTGCAGCAAACCCTGTTTCTGCTCTTTACCCTTCATTCCCATAAAAACATGAGGTTTGGTGTTTGTTGTGCAGTGATCACATTGTGGGGCGGCCACCCTGCGCCCCACGCTGCCGCCCAGGAAGATGCCTGGAACAAAATTCTGGATTATTTTGAAGAAAATCTGAGGAGCTGAACGTCTGGAGAGAGGCTGAACCTGGAGAGTTTGAGAAGCCGATTCTGTAAATTGAAGCTGGGGTTCAATTTGCATAAAAAGAAACAACGAACATAACTTACAAGTTAGTTTTCTGCTCTGCAGCAAAGTGCCTATTATCCACAGGAGGGAGCTGCTTGGTTGGAGTCAGAGCTGTTTGTTATGTTGGTGGAAACTACTGGGCTCATATCAGCGAGGGAGAAAACCTCATCCTCAGATATTAGGTTTTAAAATTCCTTCTCTGTTCTGCAGAAACTGGGCTGCAGCTGGATAATGGTTTCTGAGCAGCATCATCTAAACCCTAGGCTTTTTATTTCCTAACAAACTACTCAGCCCTGAAGTGAGGCTCCAGTTCTCCATAACATATTTACCGATCAGATGACGAGCTGCTCGATAGGTCGACCAAAACCTCCAAAGATGAAGCCAAACTTCCAGTTTTTCGCAGTTGTTTATTGAGTATTTAATGTAATCATGCTGATTTATTGTTTAGGGCTTGGAATGAAGACTTCATGGCATGCTGAGGTAACCATGGCGATGAGAGCGATGAACTCTTTGAAGTCGATCTCCAGGTCCCCGTTCTGGTCCAGGTCGTAGAACAGCTTGTCCAGAATGGCGTTGTCCTTAAGTTTCTGTTCAGGAATAAAACGATTTTAGAAGAAATAAATCCGACAAGTTGGAAGGAAAAAAAAAAACTGCATGTGAGATTTTTTTCTATTCAAAGCTTTTTATTTATTTATGTTTCCAATCATAAATGAATTTCTTCTATTAATCAGAAAACGTGTTTGGAATAGATTTCCCACCTTTATGAAGTGACTCATCTCGTTGTTGATGAGAGCTTTCAGGTCTGCCTTCCTCAGCGTGCAGTTTTGACCGGAGTATTTATGGAAAACTTTAATGATAGTGGCCATACCACTCTCCAACTCTGAAGCAGCATCCTTAGAGGCCTGAAACAAACAATTTAAAACCAAACCATCCTTATCTCCTACACAGAACCCTTGTTTTTTTTCTCCTTTTTTAGTAATCTGCATTTATTTAAGATATTAGTTCATCTTACCTCCATCTGCAGCAGCTGCTGTTTCCAGTCAGGATCTTGATGCGACTGAGGACTTGGTAGGAGTGTGCTGTGGACCTCGCCCAATCTTACAGCGGACACAGAGCTGTATCGATTGACCACACGGAGGCTTCTCATTCGCCATGCTCTACTTAATGTGTCTCTAATGGACGCAAGTGGTCGGCTCATTTACCAAACACAATACACTCAAAAAGTGTAATTTTCCATGTTTTGCTTACGCTCCGCTCAGTCAGATCTGCAGCAGTCTTAAGGAAAGCATCTTTAATTCTCATTGTGCTCTAGTGTTCATTTTGACGGCTACTTTAATTTTATACAACCACAAAACCTCAGTGTATGTGAGCAGGATTGGCTGATTTAAATGGCCGATTTTTTTTTTCTTCTTTTTACAAATCAAACCTTAGAAGTGAAGTATACAGTATCCTTTAATACGACTGAGTGTTAGCGCCAGGCTAGAGATTTTTTTTCTTCTATTTCAAGAATTAAGTCGTAAAATTATGAGAATAAAGTTGTAAAATCACCAGAAAAATGTCACAACGAGAATAGTCATAAAATTACGAGAATAAAGTCGTAACCTTATGAGAATAAAGTTGTATTTTATAACAACTCTTACAAGAGGCACTTTCTTCCCTAAAATGAGGAATGTGGAGCATCATGTGAAGTTATACTTTGGTTCTGGTTTGACCAATAAGGAAATCTTTTAGCAGCAGCATCAAAATGAGCAGCAGTGGACTCAGGTTGCTGATTGGTGGAGCTGGTCGGCCGTCATCTGGTGGTCGAAGCTCGAAGCAGGTTGTGGTATGATGACTTTGTTCTCGTAATGTTACGACTCTATTCCCGTAATGTTACGACTTTATTCTCGTAATGTTACGACTCTATTCTCGTAATGTTACGACTCTATTCCCGTAATGTTACGACTTTATTCTCGTAATGTTACGACTCTATTCTCGTAATGTTACGACTTTATTCTCGT